GTGCCCACTTTTGTAGAGTGGGGTGCTGTCTCCTAGGAATGGGATGCTTTTCTGTGCCATTGACCCCTTTGGCAGACTCTTTTCCAAGCTGTGTTTTTAAATGGATAAAATACATGAGAATGCTCCCAGCTGGTGTGGCTCAGTGGTTGAGCGTTGACCTATGACCCAGGAGGTCTTGGTTCGATTCCGGGTCAGGGCACATGCCCAGGTTGCGGGCTCGATCCCCAGCAGGGGGCGAGCAGGAGGCAGCTGATCAGTGACTCTCATCACTGATGTTTCTCTCCCTCTCCCTTCCCTTCTCTCTCTAAAAATCAATAAAAACATATTATTAAAAAAAACAAAACAAAAACGTAACATTGCAAAGGTAATTATATTGAAATATGATCAAAATAGTAAGAAGCCAAATTTGTAATTTTGTAATGCGTTTTTAAATTCACCCTTAATTATAAATCTAATTTAATACTTACTGTAATTCTGAAGTAGTAATGAGGGTAAATGGTATTTTGAGATATATGCAAACACTGAACTTGATGAGAAATTACCTGCTTCCTGGTGGTGTCGAGACGCGGGTTTGCCTGGCAGTGCCCGCTCTGCCTGTGGTTACAGCCGTATCAGATGGGCGTCTAGAATCCTAAATCTCAGAGGTCAGTAAACACAGAGGTGTAATTCCTCCCTCCAAAATCCCAGAATGCTTGGTTAAATACACTTTAAAAATTCGGGAAAAGACTCTGTGCCTTGAGGATATGTCCTGCGTGTTGAGGCGGCCACACGTGGGCACTGGGACGTTTTTCATCTTACAGTCTATTCTGTCTTACTGGTGAGATGGCGACTATATCCGTGGGGCACTTACAGCCCTTCCAAATAATTACCCAACCTTTGGGGGAAATAATTTCCTCATTGCCCCAAATCAGAAGGTCATCTCTGTGAACCTGGCTGTGAGGTGTTTTCTCTATCATCTCACTCAGTAGAGCTTAAAACATACGGAGGAAAAACTCCGCGTTTTCAGGTTTCATCTCGGAGTCAACAAGCGTCGCCCTCGGAAGCGGGCCGAGCGAGTGGGAGCTTCGCTCTTCTGGCGATTCAGTTGCGAAGCTCCCGGGGCGCGGGTGGAAGGGGCGCCCTCGGGCTCTGCGCCCAGCTCTGCTTCCCGTTACCCTTCAGAGTGGAGTTTTCTTACCTTTTCAGTGAGGATATTAAGCCAGGTGTTCTGGTTGTTTAAAAGGAGGGCGTGAAGTGAGATGACGGTTAGGCCCGGCCCCTGCAGTGCTGGCGGGACCCATTCCTTTCTCCTGCTCTCCCCGCCTCTGAACCCGACGCATGGCCTCGCGCCTCCGGCTCCTGACTAGACCCGCTGCCCACGAGGGTCCCGCTCGTTTTTGCCCTGGCTGCCGTTTGGGTGGAATACATGCACACGGCAGTTCTGTCGGGTGGAACTTCGTCCTGAAGCAGCGATGTGCTGACTGCCTGGCCCAAGGCTGGGGGTGCCGAGTGCGGTGTCCTCACAGCGCAGCTTCTGAGCGCCCACCCTGACATCGAGGGCCCGAGGCTGTGCGCGCTGTCCCGCTAGACGGGAGCCCCGCCGCGCAGGTGGGATGGCGTGTGGGAACGTGGAAGCTCAGGGTGGCAGCCGCCCCCGCCTGCTGCGCACTGAAGGCAGTGGTCTCGGCCTTCACATGTCTTGTCCTTTCTGATCCTAAAGACAGTTTTCTGCCTGGTGGTGTCAGCTGCCTTTTAAGTGATTAGCGCGCTGACCTTGAGATGCGGTGAAGTGACGTGCCCGCATCACGTTGCCGGCAGACGACTCCTCTAGGATTCAGATTCCGGACCATTGAATTCCAAGGCTTTGGTTTTAGCCACCCCAGCAAATAGCCTTTGCTATTCACGTCAACTTTGTGTCTCAGAACCAACCACTAACTGTTGTGGGAGTGGCGCGGCAGGCCTCAGGTCTGGTTTACCACCCTGTCCCGTGTACCCGCTTCCCCAGAGGTCTGCCCAGCTCCGAGGCGGTGCCCTGAGCGGCGGCCTGGCTGGCGGGCTCTCAGCGGCCCCCACGGGATGGGCTCTCGTGTTGTTACTGCCGCACAGGCGCCACCTAGTGGCTCCGGGTTAAGCACAGGTAGGGGCCGAGGGGAGTCCCTGTCCCCCCAGGGCGGATCTTTCCTGCGTTAGACACCAGCCCAGGGTGGTGGCCGTGTCCACTAGTAAACTGGATAACCAGGCCCCGGCATCAGCGCTGCTTCCTCAGTCGCTGCTGGCTCACGGTCCTTTCGTCCAGAGCGCCTTGGCCTCGCGGCCAGGGATGAAGAGCGGCGGCCCAAAGAGACGGGCGCTGTGATTGCCTGCAGCTTCCCACCGTCGTGGGCACCCCTCTCTCTCTCTCTGTCGTGGTTGGTCTAAGGAGCAGGTATCAGAGCCTGTCTTATTCCTTAAGGACAAGGGGACCAAAACAGCAGAAGTAAAACCAAATGTAAAACCAAACCCGCCGTCCCTGCTGTTTTTCGCAGATCCGGGTTAGGGTCGGGGCCCGAGGAGAGGAGAGGATGGGATGGGCCCTGCGTGGTTCTCTCCGTGGGTCGGCCTGTTCCTTCCCAGTCCCATTTCTAAGGAAAAATAATGCCTGTAGTTAGAGTCTGTGGGATTAGGGGACCTAATTTCAGACGGCTGTGTACCTGGAAACCACCCCCCTACCGTTACCATTCACGGTTAGCCTTCCGCTTCCCTCTGGGTCTAATTTGAGAGACAGACAGACAGACACACTGCCCTCTTACTTGTTTCTCTTTAGCTGTAAGCAAATTTAAAAAAAACCCAAAAAAACCCCACACACCTAAAAATGTTAAAAGTGTTATACATTTTCTTTTCGAGGGGGAAGAAATAAAGGAATAGCTGGGGTTGTGCTGCAGCCGCCAGGGGAGGAGGTTGGGACCGGAGGCTGCACGCGGTCGAGCTGCGAGCAGGCCGCCGCCTGGTGGAGGGACACCTCGGGCCGGCCGAGGCTGCCGGCGCCGCTCCCAGGAACCGCGTCCTCGGGGCAGCAGTGGCCGGGGACCCCGGCCCTTGGGCTCAGTGCCTGCCCGGCAGCTTCTGAGACAGTCTTTCTCTCCTTTACGTGTCTCATCTTTTCTCTCTCGCAAGCCCTCACCAAGGACATGTTTTTATTGATTTGAAAGAGAGAGGAAGGGGCGGGGGCGGGGGGG